GACTCAAATTTAGGATACCGCAGTTCATCATATCGATAAACAAATTACTAACAACACTTTGTATTATTATAATAATGCCCAAGTAACTCTTTCAATGATCTTTCAATGATTTTATTATGCATCGACTTTTCCAATTATAACACAAAAAAATTGATATGTTACTTCATCATGCTTTTTAACATCTACTAAAGTAACATTTTCTTGAGTCAAATCTAAGGCTTTGTAGAATTAAGGTATAAATGCACGATCTACAATCACCAGAACAAGTATTAACTTTTTTAGATAGAAATAAACGGTTCCATGATTTGGACCATGAAGTGTGTATACTCTCCCAGTGTGTTTAACGTTTATCAGAATAAACTACTGGTAATTCGAGAAAATCTATATATCTATGTTTTTGAGAACCATTACCTAGATATTTTTTAACAAACATAGCATTATTTTTTTAAATGCGAACTTAAAAACTGGCCATTGTGATTTTAAATGTAAAAACAAAGACGTTCATGACATTACAAGGCCTCCGTTAAAAAAATACCATTAAGCTCTATAGTTATATGGTAGGGTCAATATCATTTAATGAACAAATATTATAATACACATGTTATATGGTAGATGTATCTAAGCTTGAACAGGGATATACATGTATAAATAATTAAGCAAGCAGTTATTTTGGTAGCTCAAAATTACCGAACAAGATTTTAATGACGGAAAAAAATTGTAATATTTGGTTAGTTTAACATTTCTATGAAGTTCACAGGTCTATGATTTGGAAAAGTTCCAGATGCCTGCAAAAGACATATACTTTATTTTTCTGCTTAGTAAAACGAGAATTATACATGTACATGTATAAATGTAACAAGTTCCAAGGTTTCAGTCAAAGTCTTCATGGATGATACTGAGTATAATTCCTTGACCAATACTGTTTCAAACGGCCTCATTGTTACATATAAACACATTGGAAGAAGGACATAAAAAGTCAACATTTACTTTCAGGCAATTAATCGGGTATTAGACAGGTGTAGCAGTAGGCATTTATCAATTAACAGTAAGCATTAAACAGTCGCTGTAAGCATTAAGCAGTTTAAAGTAAGCAGTTGACAGTAGGCAGTTGACAGTAAGCAGTTGACAGTAGGCAGTTGACAGTAAACAGTAGGCTGTCGTTTATGGAATTCCGTACTGTTCCGAATATCGGTATAGTTTGTCTTGTTTAAAAGTAGACATGATGGCCTTCATTTAAAAAAGACCAATGTTCAGAAAAGCAAAATAATTTAGAACGATAAGCGAGGTTCATCAATGATGCATTGATCAAAGAGATGGGATATAGATAGCCGAGTTAAAGATGCGGTCGATGCCTTTAAAAGCAGTATTGTTTTCAATCAAGTTATAATTAAAGGTAAGGTGCCCTGTTTTACTTAGTGCATTATAGTAGTTTAAAGTAGATCTTGGAAGCAAGATCAGTTATAAACATTTGTGTAATGTTGAGAACATAGGTGACAGAAGGATAACATTATAAGAACACCAATATTGATTGTAAAAAAAGTTTAGATATAAAATAGACATTAGCAAATTAACTAAGAAAGTAAATCGATCTGAACGTCAGCAATTTGTATCAGTGCAATTAAAGAAGAGCAGATCGAAAAATTGAAATGGTGCACAGACAATAATTGGGTTTATTTTCCAAACAACTTGTGTTGATACGGTAATCATTTTTACATAAATTTTAAAAAAAAGAGCTTGATGTGCATAAAAAACGCAATAGATCTATCATAGATTAAATATAAGGGGTAAAAACGTTTTACTTATTGTAAAACAAAAAAAGGAATTTAGCCTTCCACGATTTTTCTTTTTAATTTTTAAAATTCTCGGTCTTTCCCTCGCCATACTTCCCGACAAAAAACACATCACATTACTAAAAATTTAATTAAATAAAAAAACCAAATATCCTTTTAAATTTGTCAATATTCCAGAAAAGAAAATAAGCATCCTATGAATACGATAATTAGGGATAATATAGATATAGCAGAACTTTTACTTATTTTCTCTATATTCCAACAAGAGAGCGCCTACACGAGCTACAATTAAGACAATGCTGTGCGTTTACATTGACCGATTGCTTTGTGCGGTTAAAAAATTCAGGTGACTCAAGAAGATGTGGTTGAGTGAGAAATGGAATAACGGGTATAATTCCTACAATAAATTTCCTTGGTTTAGAATGAAATCCGTAATTCGAAAATAAATCTTTACCTAGATATAATTTTAGGCAAGCAATTATTTTATATGACGTTTTGGAATAACAGAGGCCGGGGATATTAAACTTGTTCCCATCCAATCCTCTACCAGTCCAATGAAAACTCTGCATAGTTTGTATATACATGTACAGCAATAACCTTGACGTCAAACATTATGTTCTGAAAAAACAATTATTGAAGAAATTAAACTAAATCGGACAGATATGTTTCTTTTTTACAAAATAATTTAATATTATTCTTGCCGTTCCCCAATTACCATAGATTTAGTGGTTATTGCTGACTGCTAGAAAAATCGATCAATTAAATTACATGTTATAAACAGAAGACTATTTCAACTTTTTTTTAAATATAAGCTCTTTTGTGACCATCCACATTTAACTGTACATGCGACCAAGACTTGGGTTGCAAAAAGCTACCGTCTGCCTTACTACGAAAACTATTCACACACGAATATTACTGTTTCAACAGGATCAATGAGCTGGTTCCAACAGGATCAATCCAATCTGCTACTCTAGTTGGAATCGTTAAACAAAATTAATGCTACAGATGAAAGTGTCAAAGTTTTATAAGGATAAACAGTATTTGGTGCTGTTATAGATTGAAGAGTTAAAAGTTTTTGATGCTACAGTTGAAATCTATCCAAGTTTGAGCTGTAGTTAGAAACGTTAAATAACAGTCTGTCATGATTGGTCACACATTATAATGTAGTCACCCTAACACACTGAATATCTTTAATGGACTTGTTTCACCAATTTCAAATTAAACAAAAACAATACACCAGGTTTAGGGAAAATTTCAAAAATAATAATACACAATAATCGAACAGTCAGACAGAGCACAGTGTGAACCCGTGCCGGCTGAATCTTGGTTGCAACTGGTCAATGGGTCAGTAGATAAGTCCAACCTGCGAGAGGAGGGTAAATAGCAACAATGATTACAGGTCTTTGACACTGTATAAGTAAACTTCAAACAAATGGAATTAAACTAAAAGGCGTATAAGTATATATAAAGTATATAAGGCATATAAAGAATTAATCCGATTTTGTAAACATTTTACCATGTTTAAACAGCACACAAGTTATTATGGAATGAACACAAGTAAAATATAAACTTACTAGTATTCGGTAAAGTGATGATGAACAGAAAAGTCTTGAAAAAAACATTTACTAAATCAAGATATTTGATATCTTCAAATGATAATAAAATAAAACCAGATTTTAAGTTGTTGCTTTTTCATTTTATTAAAAACACAAATAAGAATTTCATATTACAACAATACAAAACATAAATAGAATATGTATAAAAAATGCTTAACAATTTCATCACAGCTTTTAATAACGAGCAAATATGTACTTGGTAAAAAAATAAAAATAGAATACTATATGAATATACTGCCTCAATTAAGGACGGTTTATATGTACATGTAATTGATTTTAATTTATACAGATAAAAAGAATTAGACTAAGGATTGCAATCATAATAGATTTTCAATTTAAATCTTAGTATATTTCTTAATTATCCTTTTACATTTTTCTATTGTAAGTGCTCCACATGATCTATGTACAAAATTCAAATTTTATGTTTTTAGGCTTGACCTCAGAGCAGGTCTTCAGCTTCTGCTTTAACACAATACCAATTTTTGTTCAGTACTGATATCAAAATGAAGGAACAGCATTAGTATTTATGTCTTATCTATTTTATCAATTTGGATGTGGAATCAGCATGATGAAATTCAAACTTATAGCTACAATATTTCACAATAACATTGTGTTATATGGTAATCATTAACAGAATATAATGTGACCTGTAAAATTGGATACAGTGTGATTGTTTACATCTTGACAACTTTGAAAATGTGTGAGATAGTCATAAGAGTATGGATAAAAAGAATGTAACACATTGTTCTTTTTTGGTAGATACTAAAGTATGTTATCATAAATATTCTTAAAATACTAGCTGCGTTAGTTTTACAAAAAAATACATCAAATAATGAGAAAAAAATGTGCATTTGTATATGAGAATAATTAAATAACAGTCACCCTAACCCTAATACTGATGCATATTCAATTCATATCTATATATTCAATCCCTTATTTTCGTTTTTTTTAAACATATTGTTTTTTTTTCAAAAAACAGGTCAATAAAATTTTTTACTGAAATATTTCCCCGGGAAATCCAACCATTTAAAATTAAAATTCTTACATTTTAAAATTGGGAGATAAACGCTTTTTATTTTTTTCCTTAATCAAATTTCTGTCAAATCAGAAAAAATGTTCCTTATCCATACAAGGAAATAACAGATTTTAAAAAGGAGAAAACAAAAAAATTAACGGGAAAACTAAAATTAAAATATAAAAGGACTTAAAAGGCACAGTAAGCCCCAAAATATTTTTTGTTTTTGTTAAATTTGATAAACCATGTGAATTGTAGTTAGGGATTTAGAACATTTTTAAAATGTCCTTACCTAAAGTAAAAAGCACTTATTGGAATACCTTCTGATAAGGGCGCAAAGTGGTATTTTAACTTCCATACAGAATACAACAACACTATATAACTATACAAGTTTGCATAAATGCAAAGGAAGCAAAACATGACTCAGTTATATGGCCTATAAGTTACTTTTTTTGAAACTGAAACATGACACCAAGAATATAAAACTTTTGAAAAATAAATATTACCATTTTTTTAGGCTTTGTGTGCCTTTAATTTTCATAGAAAATAATAATATAGATTATGTTGACAGATGGAAAGTTCACTATTAAACATTTATTGCATGAACACTTCAAATTGTTTCTGATTAGATCCACTTGGAACCTGCATTATATATAAATGATTGTTTTCCCATGTTAACTGGTCTGTAGTGAGCTGAAATATGAAAAATAAAATACAAATAAAAACATGAAAATTGAACTTGTTTGTGTTTTTTTCTCTCTGTAATACTGAAATAAAACAACTGTCCCCTAAACAGAAAGTCAGAAATAGATTCACTGAAATATCTTATCATATGATTTTCTAATATTTTTGAATGATGAAACAATACTGACAGGGAGAGAGGGACAAAATATGCTTATCTCTGTAATTTATCATGAATGTAACCATGAAGTTTCTAATCAATACCCAAAATGTTATATCTTCCCACTGATAACCTGTCAATACACTGACATATTATTCTATTATCCCCTCAAAGTCACACATGTTCTTGTACAGAAGGCTTTGACAAACAAGTCATATTGGAAAAGTAAAATGCCAGCCATGACGTCAAAAAAGAGAATATCAAACCAGCTGTGTGGGTAGTAATCTAATAACTGTTGTTATTGTTGTCTTTATTTGCTTCACCCTTCACACAAAACACTGCAAGTGTGGCATTATCTTAGTCCTCACATCACCCACAACTTTAATTAATTAGTGAGTCAATTAGTTGCAGTTTTTATATAAAAAATATACAGTTAACATGTTGGTAAAGTATCAAGAAGGATGTGGTTTTTTTTCAAGTCCTTGTACAAAATATTGTCTAAGAAGAAACACCCAATATTCTTGTCTTTATAATTTCAAATGGCAATGCAAACTATAAGTTCTAATGTAATTAAGTTGTCAGTTAAATCTACCTTGCCAAATGTAATTTGTAACCTTCATTGAACTTACTGAGAATAAATCTGAAAGTATCAGGTTTTTAATACTGAATATAATTTGAAATTTTATCAGGATTCTCACATGACCATTATTAACCAATAAACCACATTGTAAGGTTTATATAAGATTATAAATACTGTTTATATTTTTCTGGAAAATAGGCTGCTTAACACAATGAACTTATAAACCTCTAACTACTGTTTTTCTGCATAATTTCTCAATAAAAATAGAGCAAGGTTACTTGTTTTCTAAGCAAAGACATGGTAGAAATAATCAATAAACTTATATGATTCTCTGTCAATCTCTAGCCACTAACAGGCACAAACTCACTGCTTTTAAATCAATGTTAAATAGACATATACTGTCTTTGTTGCCATTGATTCTAAATGTTTCCAATAGTTTCTACAGAAATCCAATAATTTCCTTCAGATTTCAAAAGAAGAGTGTTGATATCACATAACTCTGATTAAACTTCAATGGCTGAGATATCTGATATTCAGGACATATATATAATAGATAATTACTTATCATAAGAATATTTATAACAAGAGCTGTCACAGGAGACAGCGAAGCTCGACTAATAAAATACTGGACGCAGTAAGGAGGACAAAACTATGAAAGAAAAATCAATTATGTATAATTATGTATTAAGTTATAGTAAAAAAATAACATTTGTTAACATAAATTCCAAGATCAAGGGGAATAGTTCTAGAAATAGTCACGCTAGAGTTATGAACCTTGTCACACAACATGACATTTTGTGTGTAATGATAAGAAATATATATTTGAAGTTTGAAGTAAATGCCTTAAAAAGTAAAGAAGTTATAATATTTCTTAAAGAAAATCCTAAGTTCAAAGAGAGATAAATCTGTAAATATTGCTTAAGAGTTATGAACATTGTCACATAAAATGTAATTGATGATAAGGAATAAGTATTTGAAGTTTAAGGTAGATACCTTTAAAACTAAAAAAGTTATAGTAAAAAATAACATTTTTCTAGTAAAAAAATCTAAGTTTATGGGGAATAATTCATGCAATATTGGTGTTAGAGTTATGAATCTTGTCACATAAGATGTGTGGATGTACATATATTTGAAGTATGAGGTTATCCCTTTAGAAATAAATAAGTAAAAGTAAAAAAAAATATTTTGAAGGTCTAAGTTCAAGGGAGATCTGAAAGTTGTTATGAACCTTGACACACAAGATGGGATGATGATAGTACATATAAATAAGTAATCCCTTAAGAAAATAAAGAAGTAACAGGAAAAATAGTATTTTTTGAGGAAAATTCTAAGTTCAATGGGAGATAAATCTGAAAATATTGGTGCTAGAGTTATGAACCTTGTCACATAAGATGTGGTTGATGATAAGGAACAATTTGAAGTTGATACCATAAGAAATGACAAAGTTATAGTGAAAAATATTTTACTGCACCAAAACTTTAATCTGAAATCTGGACGCGGACGCCGGGACGAGTAGGACAGCTCTCCATATACTTCGTATAGTCGAGCTAAAAATGACATATACACAATTTGGCAGTGAAACAAATCTTTAATGTTACTGAGATTCACCTTGGGCAAGAAAAATTCTAAATTTTAAATCAGCTATGACCATACATTGATATTGTATGCCTTGAAATATAAAGTCATATGTCCATCAAGAGTAGGCAAATAGTTTACATAACATATATATTGGTGCATATATCCAACATAAGTGGCAAAACAAGTTCACATTAATATACTGGTACTTTTATCCACCAAGAGTAGCAAAATAGTTTACATGAATTTAATGGTACATTATCCTACAAGTGGTCAACTAGTTAACATGATCCTATAGGTATGTACATCCTTCAAGAGTGGCCAAATAGTCCACATGATCCTACAGTTACATAAATATCTTAAAATAGTGACCAAATAGTTTAAATGAATTTGATGGTAAATTATCAAGAGTGGTCAAATTTGGGACTATTGTTTTAGATAACCCTACAGTAACAATTTTCCTTTTTAGAGTGACCCAAAAAATTAACATCATTAAAAAATACTTTTATCCTTTTTAAAGGGGGCCAAAAAGTTTCAAAATATCCTGGTATTTTTCAACAAAAAAAGGCCAAAAAATTTACATAGTAAAAAAAACTTTACCTACAAAGGACCCCCAAAAAATAAAAAATGAAAGTACATTTATTGTTTTGATTACAAAATTCCCCTTTAAAAATTGCCAAAAAGTTAAAAATCATGCAGGTGCATTAATTTTATCCTACAAAAGTTGCCAAATAGTTTATATGAATATACCAGTGCATTCATCTTACAAAAATTGCCAAATAGATGGTGTTTTCATCAAATATCTTAAATCATTAGAAAACCATCTAAAATACTACTGACAGAGCTTTGTAATAAACCATCTGTGAGTTCTTCAGAATAAGTTGTTTAAAGGTAATTTTACTATTTTTAGATCTGACAGCTCCCCATTAGGGTCAACCAAAGTCCTTTTTAGAAAATCTGAAAGAGGCAACCAATTGTTCTTTAAAACTTTAGTAAATCGGTTCACATACAAGTATGAGAAAAAAATATTTAAAGGTATTACATTTAAATCCAGCTGTCTCTATAGATGCCAACAGCAAATTTATTTTGAACAAATTTGATAGATCTATAAGTGATGCAATGAAAATGTGGTGATTAAAATGTTGAAATTGTAATAGTATGAGGAACATTTTAGATAATAAGAAGCACACAAGAATACTACACTGCAATTTGCTGTTTATTTGACAAATACTTTCAGAAAAAAAACAACAACATTATCAGTGCAGCAAGACAGACTAAAAAAGCCAATACAAGCCAATGCTCATCAGAAACATGTTGTTCTGGTAACCTTAAATTATAAAACTGAATCATTCAGTGTTTTGCTCAAACTTGTCTGATAATGGAGGGCCAAGAAATAACATAGGGCCTGGAGATAATGGAGGGCCTGGAGATAATGGAGGGCCTTGAGATAATGGAGTACCTGGAGATAACAAGGGTTTGTAGATAATGGAGGGTCTAGTCAGCATTGTGAGCTTTCTAATATACCAATCTATATGAAATTTCCATGACTATATCTAACTTGAAATTTGACTTCAGCGTATAATAAACCTTAAGGCTTCATATTTTATATAAATCATATATAACAACTTTGATAATTTATTATTTTACCTGGTCCTGGTTGGTCTAGATGTTTAGCATTTGAAGTCCATCTACTTGTTGTTGAAACAAAAGCTGCTCCGGACATATAATGTCTTGGTGGACCTTCATAATCAACAACATCATAGCTCCCCGGGCCTGGTGGCGGAGGGGTCACAGGCAATGGCATAGCAGGCGCTGATATACATAAATAGTGTTTCCTCCTTAAATGATAAACAAACAGATGATGTTTAATATAACACTGAGTGTAAAACAACTTCACTTACAGCTGAATATACAATGAATGAAGGAACTGGCCGCAAAAATAGTTTCTTCAACATAAAAGTTATCATATATAGTTATAAAAAAAACAATAGTTACTTGTAAAAATCTAAATTAGTTAAATTTTAGCATAGATCAAAGATAGATCAGGTACTTCACAGATGTCTAACAACAGGTTGATAAGAGTCAGTACTTTGCACCATATTTTTCCACTAATTGTTGCTCTCTCTCTGAAATTTATTGCCAGAAACACTAAATCTTGTACTGCCTTAAATGTTTGAGAACACTAAAATATATTTGACATCTTACAATAGAGGGTACATTAAACGTTCAATCTAAAACAAATTATCAATGAAAAAGGTACTTACGGAAAAAGTTGTTTATGAGCAGGATCTACAGCCTCCCCAGGTTTGTAGGCACCGGGTCCTGGAAACTGTTACACAAACTTATATTACTCATCTTTTTGTACAAGAATGAAACTAATCATTTCTCAGTAACTCAATATTTCTTACAATGATGCAATCTTTAGTTACAATTCTTAAACAAAAATACCAATTTTATGACATTTATAGGATACTTAACACTTACAAACTTAATCTTATGATGTTTCACAGTCTATGCAATTCATAATACTTTTAAAATATAGTTTTAAAATATAGTTTTAAAATAGAGTAGAATGATGTCAAGAGAAATAATAAAAGTTCATGTAAATATGTATGTTTTAATTATCTCCCTTGACAATGCTGGAAATCTTACCTTAGGTGGATCAGGGGCCATTTGTCTTTTAGATGTTGATTTAAAACTAGAGAAAGGAATTTTCACGTTCTCATGTAGTAACGAGTCGTTTACATCATACTGACCTGAAAAGTATGTAAAACATTACAAATATTCTGATTCACTCTCTATGATAAGTTTGATGTTATAACCTTTTTAAATGCAAGTAAAACAAACCAAAAACTAGAACTGTGTCCAAAGGACACGGATGGCCCCACTGACAACATTTATATGGTATATAGTGAAAAAATCAACAAAGGGCCATAATTCTGTTAAATTTGGTCGCAGCAAAAATTCCTTCCTTTACTACCATCTACACATTAAGGTTGTTCATCCCTGGAAGTTTAAGCAAAATCTGCCATCCGGTTTAAGAGGAGTTGGGTTCACAAAATTTCTACATAGTATATAGTGAAAAAATCAACAAAGGGCCATAATTCTGTTAAATTTGGTTGCAGCAAAAATTCCTTCCTTTACTACCATCTACACATTAAGGTTGTTCATCCCTGGAAGTTTAAGCAAAATCTGCCATCCGGTTTAAGAGGAGTTGCATTCACAAGATTTCGGGACGTACGGACGTTCCAACATTTTGGGTTTAGGGGCTATTTTCTTTGTTATTTTCTTTGTTTTCTTAAGGGCTACTAGCCCATAAACCCTTTGATCACGGAATGAACCTATTGTTCTCTTTTGTTCTCTTTACTGTTACATAGCCCCTTAACCCAAAATGTTTGCTGGGACAGACGTACCAACATTTGGGGTTTATGTGCTTTTTCTTTGATCTTTATGTGGCACTTTTCCCCATAAACCAGTAAAATTACCACATAAACCAGTCGGTTTATGGGATTTTCTTCCTTTTTTAACTAAAATTATGGACGGAATGAAGCTCATAGACCATTGGATGTTCGCCCAGACAGACGTACGAACGGACAGACGGACAAGTGCAACGCTATATGCTCCCCACTTTGTTGGGGCATAAAAAAGTATTTTAAGCTCAAACTTTATTACTTAAGTTTACAAATTATATATACATACTAATGATAGAAATGGGTTGGCAACTTTTTAAACTGAGAACTCAGTTAATGTTATTTATTTGTTATTTATTCGTTTTGTATAATTCTTGTTCTGGCATTTTTTTCTATTATATATATTTAAACGAGGATTGTTTGAAAACTTCTTATAATTTCCTAATTAAATGTTTAATAATTATGGGCTAAGGTGCCCATCTTTGTAATATTTCCAGAACGATCCAGAAGGTTGTTACAACTCTCTTTTAATTGAACCAAATGCATTGTATATATATACATATGCTTAAATATTACTTGCAAAAAAAGTAAATACATTCATTACACTTATATACTTAAATGAAACAATACATTACCTGGTGCCGGCATCTTGGCTGTATGTTTTATATTTATCATTTCTCTCTTTGATTGTGACTTAAACGCTGCATCAGCTGTAACATTGTTTGCCTTGCCTAACTTACTTCTTAGTACCTGTATTATAAACATAAAATTTCCTTAAAAATACTACATTGTTTTATTAGTACTTTATATAAAATTTACAAAATAATATTGGTCTCAGTGGCGTTTATTGGCTATTTTAATAACACTGGTTTGGAGTTTTGACGCGTAAGAGGCCATATGCATGAGCTTCTTAGTTTTTCATGTCAAAATAACAAATACATGTTAAATAGCTGATCAACAACACTTGATTTTATTTCTAGCTGACCATGAAAAAGCAAAATAAGGGAGATCATTAGTGCTATTTTCTAGCGAAGATATCCATAATGATTTTCATATTTAGCTGCTTTATTCTGCATCCAGTCCCTATTGTGACTTAGGGACTAAACTAGAGATAAAGTTGTTTCATTCTAAATATTGTGCATTTCTATATTCTATTATTTTTCACAAAATTTTCAACTATTTATTAGACTAGAGTTTATAGTGTTTCGAACAATGCTGATAAAACTATCTACATCCCATCCATTTAAGGTGAGCTGCAAGCTTTAAAATGATGTGATTATGCTGCCTTTTATAAATAAGCAGCATGCACAGTATAATGACATACCTGTGCATATACAAAATAACAATTCCCTAATTAAATGGCAACAACAATGCAAATGTAATCTGAGCATATATCACAAAATCATAACTTACATTGTAAGCATTTGGCGCTGGTTTTTCATGTTTTGGGTCATTTTCTATGGGTACAGCTATAGGTTTGTGAAAGTTACCAGAAGTTCCAGACTTGTTAAAATCTTTTTGTGTTGTCAATAAACTAGGTAATGCATAAATTCCAGGACCTGGTGCATTGGACATCAAATATCTTGTGTGCCTTTTTGTCTGAAATCATAGTACATAGACATTATATTCATGATTAAAAAATATAAATCTCAAATGCATGTATAATACTGTCTGGCTGATGTAAATGAAATAGATTTGTAATTTCATTCAAACATTACTTACATTTTTTTCAGAGGATAATCTTAATAGTAAAGAGAGGCATGACAATGGAAAATGTCCCTCTCTATGAAGGTCTTAATCCCCCAAACCCCATTATGCTTTATCAGTATAGGGGGATTATGAATGCTCAAAAAAAGAAGAAAAAACAACAACACAAAAGTAATTACTTTTAAAATTTATGTATATCTGAAAAGTAATAAAAAAATGGTTAAACAAGAAACATTGCTTAGGTGATGGATGCTCCAGAACCTGCTAATTTGTCAATGCTTTTCAATGCATGTCATTAAATAATATAAGGCAGTAAGCATAATTGTAAATATCTAGTTTAATCACAAGTGACTTTGATCCCAGTAATTCTAAGTTAGAAGACAAACCAAGGTGTTTACTTGTACCAACCAAATATAATAGACATAAGTCAATAAATAAAGACTGCATGAGCAAGACTGTGCAAACAGATTTCTTTTAGTATGTTAACCTTACTAGACCCAAAGTTTGAAGATCACCAAAGGTATTTTCCTACCAAATATGAAAGACATCAGTCAATCAATAAAGGGCTGTATAAGCTGAAATGTAACAAGCATTATTACATTTTATTAAGGGAGATAATTAAAACACCAAGTAAGGTAGCATTATTGTTCTGTGGCAATGCACTGCTTCTTTCTGGCCTCCTCCACTGATGTGTTAATAAAAAAGTTCAGTCCTTTTCAAGTTATTCTCCCGACAAGCATCATTTTGTATAATCAAGGGACATAATTCATAAAGTTCTGTAGAGTTATGGTTCTTTGACACTGCACTTTCTTACACTATTCTCTATAACTGTGTGAAGTTTCAATGAAACATTATAGACTGTATCTCTATCACTATGTAATTCCTTTAATACTTTTCAGTTTTTTCTCCAGGCAAGCATTAAGTACTTCAAATGAACATATTAAAAAAACTAAGCTATGTAGAGATATGACTCTTAAATGCTGCACTCCCTCTCACTAGTCTTTATAAATAGATTGGGTTTTAATGAGATATCATTTCTACTCAGGATGCCCATTCCTGCCTGTAGTAAATTATGCTCTAAAGCATCTGAGATCTTTCTCCACTATTAAAATGGAAAGTCGCTATATGACCTCTCTATTGTTGATGTGATGTAACCCCCCCCCCCCAACTTAAAGAAGGCAATCAATAAATCAAGGTAGAGGTGTGCTTCTTGGGCAATGCACTTGCCCTCACTGATCTCCATCGTAGTGTAAAGTTTATATCAAATACTTTCTATACTTTTCAAGTTTTTCTCTTAGACAAGAGTGTGCCAGAAAGATGGTTTTATAGAAGATCATGGACAAGGCAATGACTATATGCTCTCTCAAATGTGAGGCTGGAAAGATTGAGTTCATCTTATCTGATAAGAATTCTTTAAGTACGTAACAAAGATAGAGAGTAAAACTGATAATGTATTTGAATCAAAAATTTATATTAACATCATTCTGTTCATCTTGTGAAACAAGATTTCTATGCAAGGTTGAGAAAGTAAGCCCTCTATAATTATAGAACAGAACAGAACAGTACAGCTGAAGTAAAAGTCAATAAATACCGGCACACACAAAAAAGTTAATTTATTCTTAATACCTTTGAGGCAAATCCACCAGTTCCTTTCTTTGAAAAAGATGCACTGCCATTGTCTACTTTAATATGTCCTATATAGCTTCCTGGTCCAGGGGCATCAGTCTGTTAACATAAAAATATCAATAATATTAAAATTTAAAACAGTATTAAAATTTAACTTTTGACAAACAAACAGATTGCAGACTGACAATATTTCAATAAAGGAATTTGACTAAAGTTTGCTGGTTTAGATTTAGTCACTGTTTACTAATGAGCATAGTCAGTATTATACCATTTGTCCTTTGTAATGCACCTTAAAAACTTTCCTTATTTTAACACAGAACAGTTATATAATGAAATTTTCCATTATGTAATTTGAGAATTATGTAAATTGAAAAAAAAAATAGTTATATAAATCAAGCACATAGCTGAGATAATTTCATCACAGTAGTTAAATAAGATTAAAACCTTTAACAAAGAGATGTGGTCAATAAACCTATCAGTATGTTAGTTTATGTATACAGCTCCTTTATCTTCTCACTTATCACAACTTATATAAGTGCCCCCTAGGGGACACAGTGATTATCTTATTATCATTGACATGTTGTATAACATCAAAATCAATGAAGCAGAACAGTCACTTACATAACCATTTTTTTTTTTGGCTTGCATAACCATTTTTTTCTTTTGTTCACCTACAGTTATATAATTTATGATTTTTTTTTCATAAACAATAAAATATGTCAGACAGTCTTTTTAAATAACACATTTCATTCCATGTTTTCTCTTGTAATATTGCCATAAACACTGACAGATAGAAACTAATCAGTCTCTCATAATGAAAGAAAAACTATAGGATAAAACTTCTTAGCTATTAAAATATAACTGCATTAAAACTTATGATAATAAACACAATCAGATGAATTGAATAATTAAAGGTCATTGTACCTAGCATTTCTTTTTATGATTTAAAAAAATCACTTAACTGACCTTCTTAGTTAAATCAAACAATTTTATCATTAATGAACAAAATAAACATAAATATAACTGTCTTATGAAATAAAGAAAAAAGCTTACAAAATGACCCTCTGGTTGAAAACGTTTAGCTTGAGCATTGAAGCCTTTCCTGTCTGCATTGTCAGTGACTATTGTTTGATATTTACTAGGAATTGAAGATGTGGCTGCCACTATTCCATGGCCTGGAAAAAGAAAACAACTTTACTATAGTAAATATAAACAGTCTGATATCACTCTAGACATATACTAAATATAAACAGTCTGATATCACTCTCGACATATAGTAAATATAAACAGTCTGATATCACTCTAGACATATACTAAATATAAACAGTCTGATATCACTCTAGACATATAGTAAATATAAATAGTCTGATATCACTCTAGACATATACTAAATATAAACAGTCTGATATCACTCTAGACATATAGTAAATATAAACAGTCTGATATCACTCTAGACATATAGTAAATATAAACAGTCTGATATCACTCTAGACATATAGTAAATATAAACAGTCTGATATCACTCTAGACATATACTTGAGGGCATTGGTCTGTTCTTTTATTTAGGGTCTAGAATTTAAATGTGTTAATATGTTATTTTGTCGCCATAGGTTTCAATTATTCCGATGGATTGTTGAATTAAAGAAAAAAGAACATAATTGAACATATTGTTGAAATATCTAAAGTCATTAAAAATCAATAGTAAGACCTTGAGAACCTTGACTTAAGAGCTTTTTGTTAAGTATTATGTCACATAAATAGTTCACAAATGTCCCTTTTATAAAAGATTTCGCACCCTGTCAAAAGTGAAATTGTAAATGAAGGATTTTAAACAGTCTTATGCAAATGCCATTTGAAGTCAAGCTATAATTTAGAACACTTCTAACTGTAATAGAATTTTATCTTTTAATTAAAACTTTATAGCTTCAACATATTGCACTCTCTCTCCATCACAACAGCAGGTTCTGGTCCCTTGGGATCATTGGTTCCAGCATACTGACAAAAGCCTCCCAACCTCATCAAAAAATGACATGGTGGACAAAAGCCCCCCCCCCCCCCCCCATGAAATTTACCCCCGGTCCATCAAATTTACAAATTTACATAATATAATAGAAAACATATTATTAATATTAAAGAATATTGTATGGACATCACATGTAGGGGATGTAGTGCTAAGGATATTGATCCCTTTACAAAATAAAGTGTTAAACATTACTCCTCTTCTGGCCCATGTTTTGTAAATGAAAAGCTATGAATTTAGTATCGCATGCATGTTATTTCATCTGTTATCATATACTTTGTTATGACTTCAATATGAACATTATAAATAAACATTAAAAACAAATTCTGGTAATTTTATCTAAAAGTTAGTGTGAACCTTGATGAATTTGAGCACCTGGGTGTTTTAAAAAAAGAACGTAGTCAGTCTGGTCTATAAAACTTGGGGGGCTTTTGCCCTATCAATTTGTTTGGAGGTTTTTTGTCATGCCTGTATTTTTGATGGAGGGGCTTTTGTCCTGTGTAAATTTAATGGGGGGGGGGGGTTTGTCCATGCCGCTGCAGAGGCATTAGGGATGTTGCACTTTTTCGTTATTGCTTAGGTATAAACTCAATAAAACCAAGTCTGCAATTTCTATGTACTTTCGTTGTGATATCTTGCCAAAATATTTGATCACCTGAGTATGAGACTGACCTCAGGTTCATTTAAATATGCTTGGACAGTTATGATAACAATGCCATGTCCTTTTAATTTATTTTACAAAATACTTTCTTTTACATAATTATAAAGACATACATTCTACTATTTTATTTAACTGTAAAATAAAAATTTAAATAAAACTGAAGTCTTGAGTATTGAAAACAAATATGTTCTAACTATATGCATGCCGGGCCTCCATTTTTACAAACTTCCCGGAAAATCCACCTCACACATGCGCACTTTGATATAAATATTTCTCTTGGTTTGCGCCAGAAATTGTTTATCTTGTTTATTTATTTATCAAGGCGTATGTTTTATGTCCTTACAGGCATAAGCAGACCATTCCTACATCTGAAAATGACCATACGACACCTATAAATATGACGTCACTCTGAGATATTTTTGCTTCTGGGCTTGACCGACTAAACTATAACAAGCCGTAAAGTCTGATATATTGGACTAGAATAAATTTGCAAATTTAAACAAGGTTTCACAAACGTGTCTTACTCTGGTTAGGTTTCATAACGAGTCTGATCCAAAACTTCAATGCCGCATCACACAAAAGAAAATATGTTTAAAAGAGCGGCTTATAAAGTTTTGGAGACCAAAACTACAAATTGCCCAGTTTTCACAACTTGAAAAACCGGGAAATTATCGTTAAACACTATTTGAAAGCCAATGGAAAATTGACAGTGATGAAAAGGAATGAACATAATCATGTATGAGATGTAACCACCTTTATGAAGATGCCCCGACGGGTTTCTGCTATGAATTCTTCTCACATAATCTTCGTCGACAACCCGAATACTGTCAGTGGCAGCCATATCTAAACAACCGATTGACACTTCCGGTAGGAAGTGATCACGATAACAAAGAGTTCTAAATTTACATCCCAATAAGAATTAACAGAACGTTAATAACTTAAATAAAGTTTAATAGATGATGATATTTTTATTTACGTTATTCAAAATTAATGAAATGATCTTATATATCTGTATTACAATTATCAAAAATTACTACATATATAATTAAAAGTAGTTCTGTTGCTTAGGACAGATTGCTGGTCATTCCCATTCTCCATAGGTTATATGTTATTTCATTATGGAAATCATTTAAAGTAAAAGCGACTCAAAACTGCCAAAACTTTAATAATTTCAATACTTTCTTTCTGTATTAATATTTTACGTTTCAGAGAATGCATTTTTGCCAAAGAAAATGGAATGATTATTTACATAATATGTTATATAAGATAAGGAATACCCTATTGAATGATAATGTAATCGCCCCTATGTTTACTACAGTGGCCAATGAAACGATAGCATTTTGGCGTAAAGCATTATGATTGGATGAACCATGAGCGCGCGCCATATACAAAGCATCGGCATATAATTCTTCAGTACAACTGGACATTTCATTCTGACAAGATAGAAAATTTTTTGGAGGGAACATAATTCAACTTTTGTATTCTAAACTTTCAACATAACATCATGCTGTCAACAAGTTCTGCACGAAAAGAAAACGAATTGTCATCAAATCTTGGCAAAATGAAGATAATCGACGAAAATCAAGTAAGTAAACAAACTATCATATGTTATGGCGGGGTAGTTTTCATTCGCTGATTTATTAACAAATTCATTTTTCTCGAACATGGATTAGAGTCAATTACATATTTTAATGCTATACAATTTGTTGAAGTTATTTTGGTTTCTTAAATTGGCTTAATTTGCGCAAATTAATCCATTTGACAAAGTGGGGTGAATTTGCGCCAAAAACTGAAATCTTTGTTTACAAACGGACTAACGTGTGAAATCTTTTTTAAAGGACCTTTTCACAGGATTTGAAGTGAAATGGGCCATTCCCTGTTGCATTTAAGCTATGATAATGATGCTTTAATTTTTTATTTCCAAAAAGTTTGCCCCGTTTGCTTATTGCCTTCAACCAAAGACAAAGCAGGCCAGGCAAAGCCTTTGCAAGTTTTTGTTTCGATTCAGATTTCAATTACAAGTAATGTAAAGTTTAAAATTTTGAAATAAGTTCACTAAACAGAATTTGTCATCATGCAGCGGTTTTTCTCTACTTGAATGGTGCCGGTACCAGACTGATTGGGAAATTTTTTTTATGCATTTTTTTTATTCATTTTTCAGCTACAAATAAAATTAGTCATTGTGAATAAAGATAGCTAACAGCTTCCATTGTCTAGGTAGTACTATTGAGTTGTGATTTACATGAATATGTTGAATTTAAATGATTTCAGAGAAATCACTTAATTTGGCCTTGTGGGAATTTTGAACAGCCATTTTGGGAATTAAAACATTAGAAATTGGGAATTTTAATGTATATTTTCTATTGGGAACAGTACCCTTTTAGGGTAGTAGTTATATACATAAAAAAGCTCTGCTCTGACATCGTTCTTTAAGCTTGATAAAAAGTTATTGACAATGTCTGTAAAAAGATTGAACCTAGATTGAAATGTTTAAATTGTAAACTTTAACTTATTTCTACCGCCTTAATACTTGAAACCAAAGTAAGTTAGCATGAATGAAAGATCTGTCAATACAGGCACAGCTGCTCAATAGGATAGTTTATAATGACAATAAGTGCCAGTTAAAAAAAATATATGTACTGGTCAAGAATTTGAAAAATGGAACAAACTCTTTCGACAAAATATAAATTCAATTGCAAAAACTATTCATTACATTTTTGTTTCTTTTTATTTTACAGCCAAAGAAAAAAGTTCTTGGAGAAATAACCGTAAGTATAAATAATTTCATATATAAAGTATTAAGAATTTTATTGTACAGTGTTGCTTCTAAATACATTACATGTTCAGGTTATAATATTTATTTTTTGTGCGTGAAACATTTAATAAATTTTAATAAAGACAAATTCTATTTGAAAGACCCTGCTGTATCACAATTAGAGCAAGAACAGATTCCCATTTGTTTTTCATCTATAGCATATTTTCTATTGTGAATATACCTTAAAAAATATTTCAATTCATATTTCAGAACTTGCAAAGAACAACCAACAGCGGAACCTTAAAGACTGAGGTAATTTATTTTACTATCTATTTGATTAAATATAGTATTGGAGTGTAAACCTCTTTATGTTGAAATCTGTTTTTTTTTAAATAGTTATTGATACATTTTTTTAACCTGTTTAACATGTGTCATTGTGCATTCTAGGTGCCTAAACCAGTTGAGAAAAGGTCTGAAAAAGAAATTGAACCACTCTTGAAAGATAACCCAAACAGATTTGTTGTTCTGCCCATCCAATACCATGATATCTGGAAAATGTACAAGAAAGCAGAAGCATCTTTCTGGACTGCTGAGGAGGTTGACTTATCTAAAGACTTGTCACATTGGGAGGCCCTTAAACCAGAAGAAAAACATTTCATCTCTCATGTACTTGCCTTCTTTGCTGCAAGTGATGGAATTGTAAATGAAAACTTGGTGAGTTTTAGTAAACAGTTTTATTCAAACCTTATTTTTCAAATTTCAATTGTGTTTTTATATACAAAACTACTTCAAATTTGGTATCCTGAAATTTAAAGGATCTAGTTAATAACTTAAAAGTTGTTAACCCTTATGACTTCAATAAAGTAAGAATTAATAATTTCTGGTCCACAGCAAATGTACGGTTTAAGGGGAAGAGTACTTTGTGGTTTAAAGGTTATGTAAAATGATTAGAATTATTGTAATTTTTTCAGGTTGAGCGATTTAGCAAGGAGGTTCAAGTGACAGAGGCAAGATGTTTTTATGGATTCCAAATAGCAATGGAAAATATTCACTCTGAAATGTACAGTTTGCTCATTGACACATACATCAAAGATCCAAAAGAAAGGTAATTTTTACATTTATATTTCAACTTCTTGAATTTATTTTCATGTTGATATATCATTTTATTCATTGATTAGGTTTTTGACAGATGTCAAATTAGTTAACTTTAATATTTTGATAAAATTGCAGTCCTTTTTTTTTTATTAAAAATCAATTGCATACAAGGAATAAAATTTTCATTTCAGAGACCATCTATTTAATGCTATAGAGACAATGCCTTGTGTAAAAGAAAAGGCTGATTGGGCAATTCGTTGGATCAATGATGGACAGTCACCCTATGGAGAAAGAGTTGTAGCTTTTGCAGCAGTTGAGTCATCTTTTTCTCTGGGTCTTTTGCTTCTATATTTTGGTTAAAGAAGCGTGGTATTATGCCTGGACTAACCTTCAGTAATGAGCTTATAAGTAGGGATGAGGTAAGAATCATTCTCTCGTAATGTTATCAGTCTGCAATATTTCTAAAACAAGCAATTTATGAACATGTTATGTTTGTTCTAACATTTAACAATTACCAAAATAGATTTATTATATGAAGTGGCAACTAAGGCTGTCATTGAATATCGCAATATCATTATATCATCAATATTTATCAGTGACAAAAATGACAAAACAGACTTCTGTTAGTTTGCAGTATTTGTAATATCTAATACAAGCATGTATAACACCACGATGCCAATTAATAATGCATATTTAAATGTGTTTCTTTGTATCTATTGTCAAAGTCGATATGTCGTCAATATTTTTCTCTCAATATATTGATACAAATTCCATCAATGACGGTTCTAGTGGCAATTTTTTCTGACAGGGAAGGCCCCTTCCCCTAAATGTGGGAAAAACTTATCACTATCTTTGCAAAAGAAGAAGAAAACTAAGATGGGTAACTAAGACTATAATTAAGTTGAGATTCCATTTATGTTTCAGGGTCTTCATTGTGACTTTGCTTGTTTGATGTTCAGTCACTTGGTAAATAAACCTTCACAAGAACGAATCTACCAAATTATAGATGAAGCTGTGAAAATTGAACAGAAATTCCTTACAGAAGCTCTTCCGTGTAGATTAATAGGAATGAATGGTGATCTTATGAAGCAGTACATTGAATTTGTAGCAGACAGACTGCTTCTAGAACTAAAGTGTGAAAAGGTACCTTTGCTTTATACATGTAAAATATTTAATTGAAATTCAAATTAAAGTGGTGGTTAAGTGTCTGCCTCTCATCCTATATGAAGGAAAAGGCATACAAGGGTCCCAGTTGTGTGGCATCGTGTGATACCAGTTCTGATTACTCCCAAAATGTTTACTTTTTCATCAAACTGTATGAATACAGGTTAAATGGTCAGACTAAATGGCAGGATGCCAGAGTGGTTAACATGTTTGACTAGTAACCTAATGATCCCTAGCTACACTAGTTTAAACCGTCAGGGGCAAGTCATTGTTTCCTTGAGTTAGTTCTTGCTCAGTACTGATTGGTTCCAGGAATGGATTTGAAAGTGTGTCTAAAAGCTTATAGCTTCCTACACATGAAACTAAAATAAATTTTGTATAAACCAAATGTTCAGACAAAATACATTAAATACAAGTGCAAAAGTTTTATTAGAGAGCAATGAAATTAAGATAATTTATGGGTTTAAAATTCCTATATTGTATAAGTTTTCAAGCATTGCTCTCCAGAATAGTTTATAATGTACCTAGAAAATTTCTTCTGAATTGATCTAAAGAGTTTTTGTTTGATTGTTACTTAATAAGTAGTTTTTTGTACTATTTTTCAGCTTTACAACAAAGAAAATCCTTTTGACTTCATGGAACATATATCACTTGAAGGAAAGACAAACTTTTTTGAGAAACGTGTGGGTGAATACCAGAAAATGGGAGTGATGGGCGGAGGTAGTTCAGACAGTCATGCCTTCACTTTAGATGCTGACTTCTAATGATAGACAGAATAGATGCATCATGAGTGCCTTATTTTACCCCGAGTGTGTTCATTTCAATAGGATATGATCTCAGCTACTGTTGACTTATATACTTAGTGTTGAAAGTTTGTTGATGGATTATGTCCCAACAAAATCATAGAAGTAGATTGAAAATAGTGCCAGAATTTATTTATCATTTTTTTATGTGCAATTTTAACTCTTAATCCATTTAGTTTTACAATATTTATTTTTGTAAATATTTGGTTTGTCATTTTTTTTAATCATAGATTTTACTCTTTAATTTAGTTTTAGATAAAAAAAAATGATTATGGAACTTGATACCTTTAAAAAAAAACAATAATTATGTGAATGATTTTTAGACTGAGGAGTCTGTTTTTTAAATGCGGGTATATGTGAATTAGTTTTATTTATTGTAGTTTTAATTGATCTGGCATGTTGCGTTTTATTAAATTGTATTGTCATAATTATATGCATTAAATGTTAAAAAATATTTTTTTTATTTTATTTTACATCATCTATCCCTTGCACAATATGAACATTGTGATACAAAACAGTATAATTAATCTTTAAAAAAAACGGAACTTTAATGTTTGTGTTAAAAGCATTACACAACATCCCTAGTATGTGTTAAAAGCATTACACAACATCCCTAGTATATTACAGGTTTCTTACAGATCTGGAAATAGAAATATCATTGAATGTTAATTAGACCACAGCTGTTTTCTCTCTGCTAATCGGAGAGGCTTAAAAGTGTTTGATTCACAGTAAAATATTTGATATAAAAACCTGTTATGTGCACACTTAATGAAGGGAAAATTTCTATGTATATTGTAAAGTAAATAGTGTAAATCCCTTAAAAAAAACAAACAGATAGCAATAGTCCTTAGACAAATTTATTTCGACATTTCATCATTTTACAAGAATAGTTGCTGTATTTGTAAATAAGAAAAAACTAGTAGATGTACATTCATTTACTGGTTTGGGAAGAGGGGATTCCACTGGTGGGCAAGGGGGTGGAGTTTCCGAACAGTGACTGGGCTGCTGTTGCAACGCTAAGGAAACTATGCTTTAAGGCTTCAGAGGGACGTTTGTAATATTTTTTTAGTTCATGAATGAAGTAAAAAAGTCAATGCAGGATGTATATAAAGCATACAATAAATAAACGAATCCATACGTCAAGTAAAATATTTTCAACTTCAGCTGGACACTGAACCCTAGGGTTGTTTCAGCATTAAGGAAAACGTTAAATGAAAGTTACCTGCCCATTTCTCCAACGAGCCCACTCTTGAAAGGTAGCCATCACCCATGTCTGTCTAAGAGTATATTTAGGTAAGCAGTCTTGCTTCCAAGCGCTGTGTACGGTGTTGTGTCATTAAATCATTTAAATGAGGAATCAACAGGAATAACAACAAAATCTCCCAAGTTGCGAAATTATGTTATCACATTCAGAAATGTTAAATTCTTCCCAATTTTCTTGTGACTGCACCCTTGCGATAGAATGTGAAATCTACCTATCATTCAATAGATTGTGTATTCAGTTACTTATGAAAGAACATGAATTGTGCCATTTTCTTGTGAATTTTTTTTACCTACAATAAGGCCAATAGATTGAATAAGAAATATTTGGATATCCCTATGTAATTGTCGGAGAAAAATCCATTTACCTTCACCTTAAACAGAGAAAACTACCTGTGGTCTAAGTCAGATAGATCGCTCGTACCAGTTGGATGTGAGATTTATCAACGCTCGTTGATAAATCTCACATCCAACTGGTACTCTTGATCTATCCTATACGTATCCTTCATCTCAATTAAATGCATGATAAAACTAGAAATGTGTCATCATGCCACGGATGCCCCCGCATGCAGCCAAAATTTCAGATGTTATTATATTTAGTTCCAAATTTGTTTGCACAAATTATTTTTTTCATTTTAAGTTCAAAGCCCTTAAAACTTTTCAATGTTAACACAAACTATTTCCATACAATTTTCAAGGCACTGAAATTATTCAGTCTTAACCTTTTGAAAATAGCATATTTCATATTTGTAGCCAAAATAATGGCTACATACATTTCCACAAAAGTATGAGTGCTGAAACTGAAAGTTCAAAATTTTTCCAACATTCAAGAAAGATAAGTTTGTCCAAAATCATTGAACCACGACCAAATTCAAACTTAAACTGCTTATCATAAATCCTAAGATGTATCTATATTATTTTCAAAGTGAAAGGGTCACAACTCTGCCAAAAAATCATCGAATCATGACCAAATTCCAACTTGACCTGCCCATTCCTTTGACATATCCATATGTCAAATTTGAGTTGAATATGTAACACTGTTGGGTAGATAATGAACAGAAACTGTAAATTTCATATTATTTTCAAAGTGAAAGGGGCTTTACTCTGCCAAAATTCATTGAACCATGACCAAATTCAAACTTGGCTTGGGCATTCCAAAAACATATCCATATGTCAAATTTGAGTTGAATGTGTTGTACCGGTGGGGAGATAAATAAACAGAAACTGAAAATTTCATATTATTTTCAAAGTGAAAGGTGCATAACTCTGCCAAAAATCATTGAACCATGACCAAATTTGAACTTGACCTGCGCATTCCTTTGACATATCCATATGTCAAGTTTGAGTTGAATGTGTTGTACTGTTGGGGAGATAATGAACGGAAACTGAAAATTTCATATTATTTTCAAAGTGAAAGGGGCATAACTCTGCCAAAAATCATCGAACCATGACCAAATTCGAACTTGACCTGTATTTTATCATGACATATCCATATGTTAAATTTGAGTTGAATGTGTTATACCGTTGGGAAGATAATGAACGGAAACTGAAAATTTCATATTATTTTCAAAGTTAATGGGGCATAACTCTGCCAAAAATCATCGAACCATGACCAAATTCGAATTTGACCTGTATTTTATCATGACATATCCATATGTCAAGTTTGAGTTGAATGTGTTGTACCGTTGGGGAGATAATGAACGGAAACTGAAAATTTCATATTATTTTTAAGTAAAAGGGGCATAACTCTGCCAAAACTCATTGAACCATGACCAAATTCGAACTTGACCTGTATTTTCTCATGACATATCCATATATCAAATTTGAGTTGAATGTGTGCAACCGTTACTAAGATAATGAACGGAAACTGATGATGATAGAAGGACGGAACAGGGTAACACTATATGCCCCGGCCATTACATGGCGGGGGGGGGGATAAAAATACAGTTAAACTAAAAAGGGGCAAAGTTTTATTCAGATAAAATTTCCATGTTGAGTACGTAAATGAAACGCACTGGATTCTATACTAATGCAGTTCAAATTAATATGCTCCCTAGCATATAGTAATGACTTACTGAACCCTTCAATTGTAGAAACAAGGTTAACCTGAATGGCTAAATTGGATATATCAAGTTCTTCCTGTATCAATGGCTAAATTTACATACAACAAAGACCATAATGATATATGATGTGTTTATTTCCCTATATAGCACTGAAAATTGAATGGATGTCTTTCAAGTTGCACTATAAAATGGCTCAAAAATTTAAACACTTCACAAAAAGATGATTTTGCTTGAATAGCTTCCATATTTTGTAGATACTTTACTGATCCTCTAACTGGATGTATTTTTGGATTAATGGGTCAAGGTCACTTGTTCATAGTCTCATTTACGGTATGTTTAATAGGATATGCCTAAGGTGGTTCTCTACCTTGAGTGGAGTTGAGGTCATGATAATAATGCCAAAAATAAACCTATATTGATACAATGTCTTTCATATAAAGTAGGAACATAACTGGTCGTTTTCTATAACACTTATCTTGGTAAATGTCAACAACACTTATTAGTGTTAACAAATTATTTCAAGCTTTGGGCTGAGAAATTCATCATACTATTGTTCACCAGGGCAGGACTATTGACCCTAGGCAACCTTGTTCACAAGATGAAGCACTGGCTTTCAGAAAGGGTGACATAATTTATTTTTTTCTATACACTTAAAAAGATGAACCCACTAATTTTAAGATCTAATTTATTTGTATGTGGCTATGTCCACTTAGTTTGCTCAATGGCATTGGATTTCAGGCAAATTAATTAAGGCCTTGATGGCCCCTTTTAGGTTGGTGAGAAAAAATAAATACAAGCATTTTTTCATGCCCGAAAAAATTTCAGCATATGTTTAATATGCACCTGGTTGTCCATCTGTTAGGAGTTTGGTTTCTATATCTTCTGAACTGGAGGAAGGAAATTATAACTACTTGGCAGAAATGTTAACCATAATGAGATGATGCGCAGAGTGCAGGTTTGACCTTTTAAGGTTCAAGTCATTTTGTTTTAATTTCAAATCTTTTTGTGTCTGTTCTGTATCTTTAAAGCAATAGAAAATTAAAACTTTTTTGGCAGAAATATTATTAATAATGAGATGGTGTGCAAACTTCCTGAGATGAAATTTGGTCTTGCCCTGAGGATAACTTTATTTATAATGTAGACTTGTATAAAAAAAATTAAGTTTCATTGCATGAAACTACGTTTAGAGCTTGGATATTTAGCATGTAGCATTGCCGTATTGACCTTTACAAGACTGATATGAATGTCCCTTGGTTCAATAATTTTGTGAAACAATGATGCCAAATGCTAAGATATTATATATAATATATGGGACTCTGTGATCCTCTGTTGTGATTTATAGGCTGGTATGATGCTGGATAAATTATGACAAGTCCAATTTTCAACATGGTAGCTTTAATATTTTTCATTGTGAATAAACATTGAATAAACATCACAATATTAAACAAGTGAATTATGTATCGTCTAGCAATACAATGTTTCCATATAGTTGTTGAATAAAATAAAGTTTTAAATCCAATAATGAAACATACATTGTACTGTTTACCAGTACACAATAGGTAATTTTTAATTCAAGGCATAGGTTGAATAACAGTCATATACATATATTATACCATACCTCTGTTTACTATAACCATCAAGATAACTGTTTGAAAGTACATGTATGTTATTTGAGATAATTAAGAGCATGTACAGTTCTTGCGGTCAAAATCTCTAATAGGGAAAATTGTGAAATATCACAAACACATCAATCAGATCACTAGCCCTTACAACAATAACAAGTTTATAATGACTTAATTACACTCAAATATTATATATGTCATTTTGGTTTTGGAGTGATATATGTGGATATATTACCTGTCAAGATTTTATATCACCCGAGCCGTTAGGCGAGGGTGATATTTTATCTTGGCAGGTAATATATCCACATATATCACTCCCAAAAAAAAAAAAAAAAAATTTTATTACCCTTCCCCTGCCGAGTTTAGACGATTTTAAAATAAATAATTGCTACTTCAAATGAAACGTTGAAATAAGATTCCCTTTAAGGAACCCATTCACCCCAACATGACGTAGTTTCTTTCGAACCTAACAAATGTAAACAAGAGAAAAGGAGTAGTCTGTTGAACGC